AAGCAAGAATCTGTCAGAGAGAAGGTTGACGCAAGTTTGATGAGATGACATAGGTATGGGCGCTTACCATTTTCACAGTATTGTCTCGTAGTACTCACGGATACCTGTGTCTATCACATGGATTGTGACAATCCAATGAACTCCACCAAGTGTTCGCATCAAAACATATCACATAGCGCGCGGCTGTGAGCACAGGTGTTACTACAGCTATGGCATCTGTGTGGCAACGAGTCGGCGATCGACTGCATTAGGTAGGTAGAGGAAGTAGCGCCTGCCTGCCTCCTGGCAACTCAAGGTACCTGATAGGCATCCTCCTCAGGTCTACCGTCCCTTCCCAGGCTCGACACACTTCCAGTGCCGACTCGCGTCACGTGTAGACGATCACATCGCCCTGCCACGAAGACTTTTCTCAATAGGGTCCACGAGGACTGAGAATGACAACCCTTACCTCAGGCAACACACTATGAAGCGTTTCTCAATTTGCACGGGGAGTGTGTGGTTACGAGTATACCCACAGGTTCTCTCATGGTACCGAGCCTCTGCATAAGCAGGGCGTCAGGGCCGATGCTTCGTAAGTGGCCAGCGAGCCTGCGGAGATCGAAAAAATGGTATTTCGATCGGCGGTGGTAACGCGGGCTTTGGGGGCGATGATTGGAAGAAGGAAGATTAAAGGGGGGTTCGGGTTTGGGGCCGGCGCGTTAGCTGGGCTTGTTCGAAATTCCAAAGAAGTTAGCGCTTATTCGAAGGTAACAGACAAGGACACACAAAAAACAGTCGCTCTACTTATTATTCAAGTAACCTGACACTCCCTCTGCCTTGAAACACCTTACAACCAAGTTGCATTGCTCTTGAAGCAGACGATTGTTGGGTCGTGAGGATCGGGGGCTGAGGTGAATGAAAAAAAGTCTCTACAATAGTTGGCATGTCATCGATGCATAAAGTAGAACGAGTAAGCAATAATGCCTTGGGCTTCAGTGGCGGTAGGAGCAGGGATGGTGTATCTTTAGAGAGGCGGGAAACAGGCGTTGATTGCTGTTTTCGGCATTTCCCGAGTACAAGTCGCATTCCGGATCGGTTGTCGCCGCCACGATTCGAAGACAGGTTTGGCCATAGCCACCGAAATTTTCGAACCATTTCTCGTACTCCCTTGTCGGCGTCTGGCTTGTTCACAACAATCACGATGGCATCTACTTACATCATTCCGACCCAGAATTCGAAGCTCTACGCTTCCAATTGTATTTTTTTTTGCTGAGCGCTGATTCCTAGGGTTCCATTGTCTGGCCGAGTCGTCAGATTATTACGAAGGCACCTACTTAGGTCGTTCAGAGCAAATTCGAACCTCGCGTTAATGTAACCATAGTAGCATTTTTGGCATGCCATCATCATCCTGGCTAACTTCAGTTGTCATGGCCACCTTACTTTGACTATCATAGCGCTCACTCTCATCACTAGTACCATTCTAGCAGCATTGGTACTTCGTTGATTACCGGTGCAGAATTAGCTATGATCGAGAATCCTGTCGAACTGGAGCATCAGATGTATGGATGCGCCATAACTTGGCTTTTGCTTGTGTCCCAACTGTCCGTTTCGCGGTGGGTATTTTAACATCCCCAGCGGCACAAGGTCCATTACCCTCTGAGTCGCATGATACAATGCCATGCAGACTAATGATACAAGAACGCATGTATCATGGTTTAACGGTTGTTGTAACAGGTTCATAATATCATTGGTCTACACGATGAAGGATGGACCAGAGAGAGGAGGTGAGCTATCGATGTAACTAAGGTTGTAATAAATATATCGGTCGCCCCTGTGGTTTTGTACGGGCCCCGAAAGAGAGGCCGTACTCCATCTCAAAGAGAATATGCACAAGAAGTACCAAAAGAAAGGCAAAACGAGGGTTGTAAATGTATATGAGGGGTAGGCAAAAGACCCCGCAGTCCAGACGATGGTGGCATGACGAGGGGTGCATAAGAAAGGATTGTGACTAGAGAGATAGATACATGAATCTGATGAGAGGCATGGAGGGACAAAGACATTGCTATGGCGTGCACATGATCTAAGATCTAAGGATGGTCGTGTCGCTTTATCCAGTCGGGGCTCCCAGCATTCGCTGACACAGTCGGATTGGAGTCTCTGTTGGATGTCTTCAAGATAATCCTTCAAGCCTTAAATAACACAGTCGGCTCATGTACGAGTCTCCACATGGATGCACTTACTCTACTCAATTCCGACTGGTTATCCTGGGACTCTTCGTGCCGCTATTACCATTCCCATCCGGCTTTGAAGTACCCTGTGAGGAGTTATTGGATGGGCCTCCCAACCCCTTGTTCCGACTTGTCAGCTTAGTTTCACTGCCAATCCCGAGATACCGCGATGGGAAATTTTAGAAAGTTTCTGGCGCTTTGGCCTATTTCATGCCATTAAACCTGGTTAAGAATCATAAGAGTGGGAATTTACCTTTCCTGTGATACCAGTACTGATTGTGGCGCTTGACGCTTGCGCGTTGCGACTGTGGTTCTGATGGTATAGCATTGAGTCAGTATAAGGTACACAACACCATGTAAATACTCGAGAGCTCACTTGACAGGTAGAACCATGGTAGTGAAGTTTTTTTAGAGGACGCTCTTGATCTTCAAGTCCTCAATACGGATAGGCATCTTCTCCCCAGCCTCGATATAATTCCGGCCCCGACTCAGATTCGCGTTGGCTTATAAATTTAGTGGGGACTGGCGTGTTCAGTAGGATGTTTGGCAGAATCAGCAGAGTCACCAGGTGTGTAACCACCAAATTGGGCTGTTGATCCTTTTTTGGCATTTGCCAGTGGCCCGCGGCTGCAAGTGAATCATCGATCTGTTCAGCAGAACTACTTTATCTCTTTATGGGAAAAATCAGAGATCTAACCCTCAGGTTATCATAATTTGCGAACAAACCTCCCTCCGGATGAATGCAAAAAAAGCCGTGACCTATGAAATCCGACCTGCCTGGATCGAACAGGCGACATTGAGATAGACCAGTGTAACCATTACAGTCTCACACTCTACCAACTGAGCTAAGGTCGGAATGTTAGTTGTGCTGGTTGAGATGTCTGGAATATATGCTAGGAATAACTGCGATTGTAGGTGGCACTCGGAGTTGAACGGGACTGTCCCATTTCATCAGTCGTCTATCTTGATAAGGCGGAGCAAAGATACCGTTGGGCCTCGAGGGAACCTGACAGGATAACAATATGCTGGGAATTTACTATAATCATAGTAGCCCTTCATTACCTCTTAGAATCTGGCCAGGGTATTTGATCTGAAATGAGGTGACGGCAAGGTCACAGAAAAGGATGATATCTCCGTATGAAAGAGCAGAAAAGATCTCCAAACCGAGCTTTCCGCCTGCCAATAATGCAGACGGTTTCAGCATTATATATCAAAGAGAAAATATCATATGTATCGTTAAAATAATGGGCTACTACTTACCTTGTTGGATGACTAGTCAAGAGCAGACGGGGTCAGACTATGAACTTTTCCGAGTCGCTTCTTCCCTCATGCCTTTTTCAAGCTCAGCTCCGAGTCGGCTGGCTTCTTCACAACAATCATGATCCTACTTACACTATCAGGAGTCTCAACAGTCTCTGCGTTCCCCATTGGACTTCTCTTTGCTGAGCGCTGAGCGCTGATTTCTAGGGTTCTCCTGTCTGGCTTCGTCAAGTCATCACGATCATGGCACCTACCTACTGACATCGTTCGGACAATTCGGAGCATTTTCAAATAACAACACTAACGAGGCCGGTATTTTTGCTCCTGTTGGTCTGTCCATGGTCTGGTGGACGGACAAAACAGATTAGATGGGATGGCGTTAATCAAGCTCCGTGTCCAGTCATGGAAATCAACATCCACTATCGCCATTTTTAAAACAATGTTTATCACTTGCTTGACGAAGGACTTGGTCCCTTTTGGACATGGCATCCTCGTTTTTTGGCTAACTTGGTTGTAAAAACCATGTTACTCTGTCGCCATCATAGTGTTCACTCCGTATCATCTGAGCAGCATTGCATAGTTGATTACTGGAATGCGATTAGCTATGATCGAAATTGATTCTGTTGGACTCGAGGATCAGATATATGGATATTTCGCAAGTTTTTTTTCTTTGTTTGTGGTTTTCCTTTCCGCGGTCGTTATCCTCATATTTCATTTTCCTCTACTCTTTGTATTGTATCATAAAACTGTGCATGGGTTGGGTTTTGATGATCTTCCCGTAAAGATTTTTCGAAATCCATTTATTGATATCAGCGGCGTGGTTGGTTGAAAACACACACTGCATATTATAACGTGAAATTGACATTGCATGGCCACACCAGTCCTGTAAAGATTGCAACTTTGAGCGCCTTTTGCGCGGTTAGATCCGAGGGCCTTGTTTTCTCAAAGCGAGTTCTTACAAGATCTGTAGATCATCTCCTATCTAATGTTTGAGAGATGAAGTGGCTGTACCTTGCCCATGTTGAACAAGACGTCAAGATCTATTTGTAGAAGTCATTTTCTCTCACCATTTTCTCTCACTGACAAACATTCTTTGTTTCTGATTTTCCCAACAGCTGTTCTGCAACCTTGACTTGTGAAAAGTCCGTGATTATTTTGACTGGTCAATCATTGGTATGGAGATAGAGAGAAGATGATGGTACCTGCCAGATTTCCTTAAGGATATGTGATATTGCGCTTTGAACATGTCATTACAAATCCAAAAGATGTTCCACCGTTGCAAAAAAAAAGAAAAAAAAAAAATGCAAGGCACTTGTGAGAAAGTGCAACTGCTTGTGGAAATATCGTATGCGTGCTATAGTCAGGGTCGCCATTGATCCGCGGGCGCTTATCTGTGGACCCCCACACTACCCGTCTGTTGCAACACGATACATTCTCCGTAAAAATGTGGCTTATCGTACATGTTCAGAAAAGACCTCCCTTCAAAAAGTTGCCGCATGTTGACCTTAATAAGTTTGTTGTCCTACAACGAACCAAAGGGCGGCCCCAATTTCAGACGAGCGTTTATCTACAAGTTATTCTCATTTCGATAGATTTCACTCCCAAAGGCAAAGCAGATATATCCAAGTTGACTGTTTCAAAGAAACAGATATATTGCAACCGAGTTGAAACGTCAGTTGTTATCGGCCTTGAATCACAAAAAGCTGATGGTTTCACTAGTACTGGTTAGGCCCCTGATCCGTGATGGAAGGCTGTCAATCTCATATCCACGGGCGAAGATCCTATGCAAATGAGCGTTTCAGAGGTACTAATGTAAGTAGTTTTACTTTGTCCCTATCTCGTATATAAACTGGATCAGCTGATAGCACAAGTAACGCTTCCATATCATCTACTGGTAGTTTCTTCGCCAAAATGTCTGAAAAGTGAGGATCATTCCATGTTGTCGTGTACCTTATACTAACTTTCTGCTATCATTAGCACCACAGACAGGCACATTCCAATGGTTATCGGGTGCCGAGTGCCACAGCAAAGGTATAGTATTCGCACTTTTGTGCTTCTTAACTCTGTTTATTGAGGTGAACTGCATAGATCGAAATGCTCAAAACCTCACAAAAATATTGTTCGAACTGGGCCTCTCTTGTTGATTCGAGTCAACCCGATTGCAGGACAACGAACGGGCCTGGGAGGCACGTCTGATTCGTCCTCGCAGCCGACTAGAAAAGAGGCTAAGAAAGAAAACAAGGAGGGAAACAAGAAGGAAAACAAGAAGGGAAAGAAAGAAAA